AGGCAGTCGGCACGCGTCCGAAACGCCGAAAATATTCAGTATAAATACAATATCAGCTGGGGTCGACGCACTCTTTATCTTCACGCTACATACATATACCTACAAAGAGGTTAACACATCATCCCTGTTTTAAAATTAGATTAAGACTATTTCTTTAGTCTGTGATGTGCAGACTGCAGAGTCTACGGAATGCAGCTGAACATTTTTATTCGTTAGCTTTGTTCTAGTTCTTTCGTTTTCGTTAAGGGTGTAAATGATATAGCGAATCTAGTACCTACAATAGATTTCCCATTTCATAATTATTTGTCCACGGAGTAGATAGAATTAATGGTAAAGGTTTTCATAAAACATTTTTTTTGCAAATATGTATAAATGAAATGATTTTCTTTTACCACGGCGAATATATTTAATTTAGGTACTTATTTATTGAAAATAACGACTTTCTCACGTGAAAAAACTGAGTAAAGGTCTACCAGTTTCAAGTCACAACGGGACTCTTATTCATGAGAAGCGTGCGATTATATTTTTATATTACCTATATTTCATAAATCACGCTTAATTTCACGTTACATCTTACATCTTTCTCTCGTATTTTTCTCCCTTTGTCAATATTAAACGTCTTGTATAAATTATTTTATACTTCGTCTAGGTATTCCGCAATAATAATGAAACATATGCAATAAATATTTCCTGTCAGTTGTCACATTATCACATCGAATGGTTATTGAACCCGACATATTGTGCGCTCTACTGATATAACCCGAACCAACATTAACATACAGATTAATTAATATACATATAAATCATACATATATTTTGTTGGTAGATCCCAACGTTATAATGTTATGGGAAGTGACGGTTTGTTTTTAATTACGCATTTAAATATTCAAACATCAACTTTCTTACATGTATATTGTAAACCTAAGACCTAAGAAACAAAAGACCATATAAAAAGATATTACCTACCATTTTACTAGTTCGTAAATAAGAATTTGATTCTGTGATGGTAGTTATTAGTCTTTTTTTTCGAAAATAAATTCAAGTCAACCCTTTCAGGAACTTGAATGTCAAAGAAAGCTTAAAGATAAAGGATTAATCTGTCGGTCAGTCCTTTTAGTAAAGGTCGTTCCTAAGTGTAGATTCAAATGGAGAAGGATGAGCAAGAAACGCCATTAAACTGACTGACATAGACAAAAAGACATATTCGATATTTAAAACGTGAATGAATCGATTCAAATGTTATTATAACGGGATCGGTACTTGCAAAATGTTGCCACTGCTAAAAAGAAATTTAAGCCGGCTGCGGCTTATCACGAGTCATTGAATGAAAAATATTTATTACTCGGGTCCAATTTATGGTCTTCCGTGCCTCGCTGTTTCAGATTTCTGAGAAGATACAATATGTAGGTACTACAAGACAAAATGAGAGTCGTGACTCATATAAACATTTCTTTTTATTTATCGAATAAAATACCTACTATGATGATGATGACCATGGAATTGCTCTTCAGTAAAAATAAATAGCTTTTAATCTAAACAAAATAAATACTTAATTCAACATGAAATTTGATAAAATCTCAAGTTTTTAGAGTAGGTACTAATTACAACTAAATACGTAACTGAATTAACTGGGTACTGGGTTTCATACTAAAAATATGAAATGAAATCCACACGCAAGTTGCGTTAACACATAATGTAAAACAATGTTATCTCCGAAACAAAATATCTGTTTTTATTTCAACACAATCGCGGAATGTTTTTAACGAAAACAGATGTCTCCCATTTGTTTTGTTCACATAATGATAATTAAAATTAATATCTCTCGCAGTATTTATTCCTAGCATTGTAGTTACGTTTAATTTTAGTGTCGTGGAACAATGAAATGTTATAATGTCTTATGTCATTCTGACTAGCACTTGTGCCAATACGAGCAACGAGCAGTGAGCGAGGTCATTGCACCCGCTATACGTCAAGCTAATTGCATTATGGAAATATCAATAATTAATTAGTTACTAGTACTAATACGAGGTATTAATACGAACTACTAGTACGAGTTATGCTTGTCTGATTCCATTAAATATTGCATCGAATCCATCGATCACTAATAGTTCTTTATTAGTGATCGATGATCGAATCAAATGAATGGCTGATAGTTTAAAAAAGCAAACATTTTGCATTTGAATTTCGAATTTAGAATTCAATAATTCTAAGAATATTTTTTACTTATTTCATTCAGATTGGTTTCTTTTTTCAAATAGGGAATTTGAATGCCGTTATACCGTGTAATATACATATTTATATTTTTTATAATGCATAGTAGTTTTGCTACGGTAAGCTTTACTGATACTTTTTGTCGATTATATTTGAATTTAAACGTTCGATTACACATGTTTGTAGGTAATATTCGCTTAAACAGACTCGTAATACATTCATCATGTGTAGGTCATAAAGACGTCAAAACCGTCGAAGTTGTCTAGTCTACCACACCAAAGAATTTCAATGGTATGCAAATGTTGACAGTTCTAGTTGCCTTTTAGGCGCTGTCCAAAATAACTCGTTCTCTATAGTCGACTAAAACTTGCGCAAAAGTATGTAGCAGTAAAATGTTTGCAAAAGTAATAGGTTTATGAATAGTTATTTACAATTAACTATAATTTCCAATAAACTGGTTCGAATTAATTCAAATTTTCCATAGTTAGGTGTAGGTATTTTTCAAGGTAAAATATAAATTATAAGCAAAACGAAATTCAAATCGAAAAAATCCTACAAAGAGATTGCCCTAAAAACTCATTCCTTAGTTCATTTGGTTTACGTAAATTATTATTTATTATTACCAACAGATTTCTGATGATGACTTACAAATAAGATTAGTAATCCGATATCATGAGATTTATTTCAAAAAACAATTTCGACTGTTTTGTTATGGACAATAAATAATGGAGATTCTAGATTGAATATTTTAAATTAGTTATACATACCTATTTCATTTACACGTTCATATTATTTCAACGCTAAGCATAAGGTTACTGTTTCTCGTTCTATCCACTTTGCCTGACCATATAATCCGGGGTAGCCAGAACACAGAAATACCAGTCAGTAAGGATTTGAGTCATTTTGGCACGCCGACGCCGGCTCGCCCCACCCATGGCGGGAGCAGTCATTTGATGATTTTCCCCCTTCAAAACAAATCCTACCTGTCAAATTATCCCTGTACCACCTTGAGAGAGAATGCGTTTTTTTACTACATAGTTTTAGCTGTATCAAGTGTTTAATCATTCGGGAATCTAATAAGTACCCAATAGCCGGAGCCGGAGTGATACCTCGGCCTTACAGAATGTGTGAAGCAAGGCTTATGTTGTATTTATTCGTGCGAGTGACTGGACCTACAAAACTATAACCTTATTTGGTGTTCAGGGTGTTAAGTTAAACTGATACATCCCAGAATTAACCTTTCGTATGTTTTAAACGTGGATTCACGCGAGACACAATGTATTTTCTATTGTGTCTTACAAACTGACATTCAACGGGTTAAAAATCAAAAAATTGGTTAATAACCCCTTTAATTTAAACGTTTCAATCGTTGTTATCCGAGACACAATAGCCGGATTTCGTTTGGGGTTTAATGAATTAAGGATTGTCTAGCCATATGTTACTTAAGCGTGATACAGTTGATACGTTTTAAATTGTAAGTAGGTAGAAGATCAAATACCTAATTGCTTAGTAAATTACTAGCAATTGAATAAAGTGTTCAACTAACTATATTGGCTACTACTAATTATAGTTGGTTTTTTCATTGCAAAACTAACCTACATCAATTTAAGACCTACACATATTATATATCTGACAACATCCTAACCTTTATTAAGCCGCAAATAATTCAGTTCATTGATTGAATGTTAGTAAAAATAATTACCTCCTACGTAACGCATATAAATAACTAACTCCTACATAATGTTCTTTTGCCTTTTTTGCTACTGGTTCACAAAATAACACAAAGCTATATTATATAACCTTATAAGCAAGCCAATAAAATGGGTCATTACAGCGGTAGACGGATCACTTGAAAGCAAGCAATCGGCGCCACTTCTGCACATCCATAACACCAAAAGTGTTGTAAGTGCGTTGCCGGATTTTTGTGCGTCGTTAGGGATTGAGTTCCTTCAAAAAAACTAACTTAACTAGGTAACTACTAGCAAAAAATTTTTGGGATTTTAAGAGACGTCACTACTGTCATTAAGCTTCCTCTTCAATAACCCTATCTATTATAAAGTTCTCCACTATTCAATGGATGTTATTATACATATAAACACTTCACACAAAATCACTCTATCGATTAAAAAACAGCATTAAAAAGCATCGCGTAGTCTTAAAGATTTAAGCATACATAGGGATATCAGGGTAGAGAAAGCGACTGTGTTTTTGTATGTATACTTTAATATAGTTGTCAAGGTAAAAACCACATAATATTATAACAGACTAATGAAGCACAGGTTGATAAAATTGTCGTTTTTCCTCAATTACAGATGGTGATCTATTTGGCTTTCCCTCATTACCAAGCATCGTAAGTTGACACAACTGTTAGGGTTGACGTAAAACAGTAAAATGTTTTTAGTCGATTAGTATCTCACATCCGATTCGAGTCGAGTCCATAACATAGGAAATCGTTTCGTTTAATTTTAGCTCTACCTAATCAAAATTGCTAGATTATGATCACTGATCACTCACAATCCTGTTTGAAGATCAGATTATCAGTTTGAAATTATTGAAAAAGAGGAACCATGGGGCTGTTTGCTCGTTCCAAAGAGTAGATTCCTATGGAGAAGAACGATCAAGAAACCCCCATAGTTACTTTCTAGAAGACAAACGGACGGACAAACTGACACGCATAAAGTTAAACCTTTTGCTATACATATATTTTTTTGCTTGACGTTCAAAAATGACTGTTGTCGTCTTTTGAAATAAATGATTTTCTTTGACTTTGACTTTGAAACTAGTCTTACCTGGTTTGTCGTCAGGTCCCACTGATCAGCAACGAAGGAATGTCTGCTGTAGAGGAACACAGGAACCTGATGGTCTTTAACTGGAGTAGGGTCACTGTTCACCCTGACCACAGTCAAGTGAGTCGTTGTTGTGCCAACTGAGAACAAAGAGACATGTGTTTTATACTAAAGAAGTTTGTCTAGCAGATGTAAGTAATATCATTATATCAAACGCCTGTTTTCTGTTTTTAAAAATTATAATTTTCGTCACTGAGTTGTAAGTCAAATTTAAACAAAAAACCAATTAGATTTTCTACACAATTCGAAACTTTTTTCATTCATTATGTAGGTAGGAAAATGGGAAAGAATATTAAATTAAGTTAGGTTACACATAAAGTTAAGGAAAAGTTTGGTAGCTGTATTATTTTACATTGCGCCCTCTGCCATATAACCTATTCAATATACTGTTTGTTTTCTTTTAATGGCGTACCTAATGCAAAAAATATTTTATTGTTGCTAAGCTGAATAATAATCACAGTATTAGGAATCTATAACTTGAAATCGATAAAAGTATATTTTCGTTAATTAGTCGATTATTATACAGATTTAGTCGAATATTCAGTTGTTAAATTATACTAGGTATTCCGTATTCCATGTTATGTATTCATTTTTGAAAATATCTTTATCGTTTGCCTTTATCGAGGATCCACGTAGCTTACGTTGACGTTTACATATATAAAAAGGAACAATAAATAACTATCGGCCAAAGTTAATATCAGTCAGTTTTAATTTTACGTAAGAATGAAAAATTTAAAACCAAAAAACCTCTTTAAATATGAGATCTATTTTTCCCTTATCTAGCGTTTTATATTTTAAATAAACTGCTTAGTGACTCTACAATCGATTTATGATTGCTTGTGTGCATTAGAAAACAATGTAGTGAGCAAAAAATCCGTCTATAGACCGCGTTGCTAAGTGCACAAATTGCATAAAAAATATGCAAGTAGTGAAGAGAATGTGCGATATACTCTTAATCGATTAGATTCAATTCATAAACTAGGTAAGATTTTTTTTCTAATATACATACATGCATAGATAAAATACTTATATTTTTTTGTCAAGAATACAGTTTTCTAGTTTAATATAAGTTAAATAAGTTTTATATTTTAGTTGACTCGACTATCTAGAGTTATTAATAACACATTTTAGATATTTTAGGCCAAGAGAGGAGTGTAGTAAGTATGTATTTATTTTATAATTTGCAACTATCGTATTTGAAACAAAGTTTGGTTTATGTAGTCACAGCTGCAGTCTTATTAACGCTGATTAAACACTGTGTCATGGAGCCATTACAATTTTACGATCAGTTTGATAAAATTGATAAACTTTCAAGTAATAACTTCTTCATCAAATTAAAATGTAGAGAATCTTACTTGTTCTTCCGAGCGAGTAAGAATCTAAATTTTGTCGTGATCTTTAAGATTTATTATGTCTGATAATCTCTTTGCATACTTATATTATGTTTAAATAATTGAAATAACTTATTTGTTTAGGGACTTTTATAATCGCTATGCCTATGTCAGCCCCATCAATGAAGCAATGAAACAATGAATTTATTTTTGCAAATAGGCCATAAAACGGCACTTTTACACGTCAAATTATATGTGAAAAACTAGATGAAGCCGGCATTTCCTATCTGACTACTCTGAGAAGAAATGCCGAAACAAACTCAGAGGTCAGTCTCTTTTTACATCGCACCCTAAATAATAACATGTAATCCTACAATACTCATAGCTATGCCATGAATCTAAACAGACTATTCGCATCAGCACTACTAGGTTCAGTTAAAATCTTATGAAAAGTGCCAACTTCAAGTCTATTCAAGTTGAGTATTATCGAAATCATTTGGTTATTTCATTTCTGAAAGTTACTCTCTTAATAACTAACAGGTAACCTTCAACCTCTGATATTTTGTTTTAGCACTACATAGAGATATAGGAACAAATACGCGACAGATTTTTAAAATTAGATTTTTGAATTAGGTTTATATGTATGAAAATGTCTAATAAATAGTGGAGAAATTTAGTATCAGCATTGCACACGTGCGAAGACGGGGGGAGTCGCCAGTTTTACCGTAGAAAATATTTTCTAGAAGTTTTATAAGAAATACAGTTCATACAAGGAAATTTGAAGTTTGAAAATCTTATAACAAATTAAGAGCAAACCCTCTCAGAACGGAGGGATTGATAAGTGCCTTCTCAAATCACCCCTAAGTGGCGGGACTTTGGACACTCTTGTTATCTATTGGGGTCAGTTCAGATTTCTTCTTACAATAGAGTGAAGGTTATAACAGGACAGAATATAAATTGAGGGTTAGACTAATGTCTAACCTATTTTCCACGTCCTTGATATTTACTGTATTAATACACGCTTTTCAGTATACGTAGGTATTTATGAATATGGCATACCAACTATGTTTGATATCCAATAATATCCATGTCACATACACATTTTTCGATCATATTAAGGAGCCCGAAGAACGAAGTAGATAGCCTAAATCTACGCGAGCAAAAACGCGTGTAAAGTGCAGTTCAAAATATGTACTTTATAAATAAATTTCTTTTGATATAAAATCCATCGTTTCCCAAATCCATAAATTTTTAAAAGCCCCTAATCTCCAAAAGGTCGGTAACGGCAACGTACTCGTAACTCCTTCGTTACTGCAGGAGTCCACGGGCGGCGTTGATTGCTTAGCATCAGTCCGTTTGCTCGTTTGCCGTCCAATCACATAAAAATATCTTGACCGCAAAGCTGCCTTGTGTTTAATTTTCTTATCAAACCGCTTGTAGGTATACGAAATAAACATATAACCTAACCTAACCTAACCACTATAAAATTCAAACAATAAAATGTAGGTTATTGCGATAACAAGGAACCATAGTAATCGAATGTGTAAATATTAAAAAAGGTATAATACATTATTTTAATCAGTATAACTAATTAAAAACAGAACACAGCAACAAAAAAAAATTAACTCCAAAAAATACAATTTAGTAATACGTCCCCATCCCTAGCCTACTAGATAGTTGCAACTAACCGCGCCGCGAAAAAAAAACTCCCAAGTAAAAGTCGAACAGTACAAGTGTATTGAAGAATGAGAAATTATTTTTTGTTGAAATCTAATTTCAATGATACGTCTAGACGATTTTGCTTGCTTTTCTCACTGCAAATAGATTGCCCATTGTTTGCTATGCAGGTATATTTATAGAGTGATAGACAACTAGTGAGGGTGACGCTACTTTTTAATGAATATTGAGTAGTCTACTGTGGGTGGAGATCAATCTAAATAGGTATAAATATATTTTAATCAAGGCATAATGTTGTTTGTTTACTCGTACAGAAAATTATTTAAATCAAATATATACAATGTAAATAAGTGTTATGTTTATTTAAAAAAAGATTAGGAATAAAAAATAATTGTCTTTAAAAAATCACAAGATTCAAACTTTTTGAATTTAGAACGAAGAATGGTTGCTGTCACAATTTTAGCATTAGTGTTGCCATTATTCAAGCTAAGTGGAACTTATATGTGGTAACGATTAAGATAGCCATACAGTAAATCAACAATGCCATGTCCATAAACTATATGAAAGCTTACGGTACATTTCAGGTATCTTGGTTGTCTCATCAAAGAAATATAATGTAAAAGTACCTACTAGTAATCACTTTTAAGGTGACAAAACAAATATAATTTGGACTATTTAACGATTTTCAGAACAGAAGAAATAGGTACGTTACAAAAATCTTTTAAACATTTCACGCCTATTTAAACTCCGTCTATTAAGCTTATGGTAGGTAAGTAAACGAAATAAAAGGCTAGAAAATAAATAAATTTTAGTCGTGAGTAAGCGATAAAGTGCGGCTTACTTATTTTTTATCAATGCTTTATTTATAAATTATTATCTTTGTAGAAAAAAATATACGGGTCGATTACGGTAGCCTACCTAATTTCCCGCGTAAAGCTCAGTGACAGTGACATGGTCACAGATAAGTAATATTTGTTTCTTTTGTTTTTAGAGAACATTATCAATGTCCTGAATATTTGACACTTGATAGATTTAGGTTAGTTTTGTCGTTCATATTTTGAAATCTTTTACGGAATATAACAAATACTTACATTTATTATTTTGTGATTAAGTACATATTATTAGAACGTCTCCGTGTAGAAACAAAACTGGTTCAGTTTTGAGTGTAGGCAAGTAGCGTGAGGAAGCTAATACGTTCAAGAGTTAATGATACCCATTGAAAATGATAACGTAATCATAATCACTGTAATTTGTATCGTATTTAATGAATAAGATACATACAAACCGGTCGAGTTGAACTGTTTATTCTGTAACGAAATATGAAAGCAGAAACATAAAATCACGGCCAGAGTTTCTATAGAGGGTAGACAGAGTTGAGATGTTTGGGTACCTACATATTATATAAAATACAATTATGCTTATTTGGAGTGTACGAAACATTACAAAGATTGATTCTCCACGGTAATAGTAACTAGGTACTTATTGTTGGCTTTTTATTGTGATAAACCAGCAGACGGATTACCTGATAGGAAGCTATAGGTAATAACGCCAGAGGAGTTTTTTTTTTTATAAAAACTGTTTGAATTGAGTTGACTCGTATAACCCAAGGTCTTTATTTAAAATCCAATTGACAAGAAAAATCATCATCATCATCATCATCATCATCAGCCTGTTGTCGTCCACCGCTGGACCTCTCCAATTGCACGTCACTAAGCTCGATGTCCAGCTCTTCTCATCCTACCACTGCCAGCCACCATACGTTTGCCTAGACGTGGTCTCCACTCTAGATCACGTTTACCACAGCGGTCATCGGTTCTTCGACAGATTCGACGAGAAAAAATAATGTGCTTATTAACTTGCATGCATATGACGACGACCAGTTTTTTTAGACAAATCACCTGATGGTATAAGAAATCTATGCCGCCTATGGAGACACACGCAACATCCAAAGTAAAGAAAGTTTTTCTAAAGAAATCTCATAGAAGTGTTTATTAATGATGAAAAAACTGAACTCGACCAGCGTCATCTACAGTCACAACGAAAGAAATTTTATCTCACAATATGTTTGTAAA